GAGTGTTGTCTGTAATACACATGCATCCACAGAGCACAGGACGGAGTTATCTGTAATGCACATGCATCCACAGAGCACAGGCCAGAGTTATCTGTAATGCACATGCATCCACAGAGCACAGGCCAGAGTTATCTGTAATGCACATGCATCCACAGAGCACAGTTCAGAGTGTCTGTAATGCACATGCATCCAAGAGCACACAGAGTTGTCTGTAATGCACATGCATCCATAGAGCACAGGTCAGAGTGTTGTCCGTAATGTACATGCACCCACAGAGCACAGTTCAGAGTGTTGTATGTAATGCACATGCATCCACAGAGCACAGGTCAGAGTGTTGTCTGTAATGTACATGCACCCACAGAGCACAGTTCAGAGTGTTGTATGTAATGCACATGCATCCACAGAGCACAGGTCAGAGTGTTGTCTGTAATGCACATGCATCCACAGAGCAAAGGTCAGAGTGTTGTCTGTAATGCACATGCATCCACAGAGCAAAGGTCAGAGTGTTGTCTGTAATGCACATGCATCCACAGAGCACAGGTCAGAGTGTTGTCTGTAATGCACATCATCAGAGCACAGGTCAAGTGTTGTATGTAATGCACATGCATCCACAGAGCACAGGTCAGAGTGTTGTCTGTAATGCACATGCATCCACAGGTCAGAGTGTTGTATGTAATGCACATGCATCCACAGAGCACAGGTCAGAGTGTTGTCTGTAATGCACATGCATCCACAGAGCACAGGTCAGAGTGTTGTCTGTAATGCACATGCATCCACAGAGCACAGGTCAGAGTGTTGTCTGTAATGCACATGCATCCACAGAGCACAGGTCAGAGTGTTGTCTGTAATGCACATGCATCCACAGAGCACAGGTCAGAGTGTTGTCTGTAATGCACATGTATCCACAGAGCACAGGTCAGAGTGTTGTCTGTAATGCACATGTATCCACAGAGCACAGGTCAGAGTGTTGTCTGTAATGCACATGCATCCACAGAGCACAGGTCAGAGTGTTGTATGTAATGCACATGCATATCCACAAGCAAAGGTCAGTGTTGTCTGTAATGCACATGTATCCACAGAGCACAGGTCAGAGTGTTGTCTGTAATGCACATGTATCCACAGAGCACAGGTCAGAGTGTTGTCTGTAATGCACATGTATCCACAGAGCACAGGTCAGAGTGTTGTCTGTAATGCACATGTATCCACAGAGCACAGGTCAGAGTGTTGTCTGTAATGCACATGCATCCACAGAGCACAGGTCAGAGTGTTGTCTGTAATGCACATGCATCCACAGAGCACAGGTCAGAGTCTTGTCTGTAATGCACATGCATCCACAGAGCACAGGTCAGTGTTGTCTGTAATGCACATGCATCCACAGAGCACAGGTCAGAGTCTTGTCTGTAATGCACATGTATCCATAGAGCACAGGTCAGAGTGTTGTCTGTAATGCACATGCATCCACTGAGAACAGCATTTAGCAGCATGTGGACACATTTTTAAAGGCTGATTATGCTGCACACACTGCACACAAAAGGGGACAGAAAGCAATAATGATGCAAAGTATGCTGCTACATTTTTTTCATTGAGTGTTTAATAACATTATAAAAGTGACTAACCAAACTAGATAGACCTGCTCTCTATCTACTGACTGGATTTGCTTTCTGACACGGATAATAAAGTCACCTTTGTTTCTCTAGAAAGCTAAGACACTTACGGTACATGCAAGGATGATACGGTTTCTATAGACATTGTGAACAGGACAAGTAGCTCTCTGTAGTACAGTAATTGGAGGGTTTTAAAGCCAAGGATGAACTAGAGATTAAAGTTTATTCACACAAGGGATTATAAACAGCCTATAATGAATTACAGTGTGCTGCCTGTTCATACATATTTCAAGCATTCACGGAGCACAGGTCAGAACGTTGCCTGTAATGCACATGCATCCATAGAGCACAGGCCAGTGTGTTGTCTGTAATGCACTTGCATCCACATAACAGGCCAGAGTGTTGCCTGTAATGCACATGCATTCACAGTGCACAGGCCAGAGTGTTGTATGTAATGCACATGCACCCACAGAGCACAGGCCAGAGTGTTGCCTGTAATGCACATGTATCCACAGAGCACAGGTCAGAGTGTTGTCTGTAATGCACATGCATCCACAGAGCACAGGTCAGAGTGTTGTATGTAATGCACATGTATCCACAGAGCACAGGTCAGAGTGTTGTCTGTAATGCACATGTATCCACAGAGCACAGGACGGAGTTATCTGTAATGCACATGCATCCACAGAGCACAGGCCAGAGTGTTGTCTGTAATGCACATGTATCCACAGAGCACAGGCCAGTGTGTTGTCTGTAATGCACATGTATCCACAGAGCACAGGTCAGAGTGTTGTATGTAAATGCACATGCACCCACAGAGCACAGGCCAGAGTGTTGTCTGTAATGCACATGTATCCACAGAGCACAGGCCAGAGTGTTGTCTGTAATGCACATGCATCCACAGAGCACAGGTCAGAGTGTTGTCTGTAATGCACATGTATCCACAGAGCACAGGTCAGAGTGTTGTATGTAATGCACATGTATCCACAGAGCACAGGCCAGAGTGTTGTCTGTAATGCACATGTATCCACAGAGCACAGGACGGATTTATCTGTAATGCACATGCATCCACAGAGCACAGGCCAGAGTTATCTGTAATGCACATGCATCCACAGAGCACAGGTCAGAGTGTTGTATGTAATGCACATGTATCCACAGAGCACAGGCCAGAGTGTTGTATGTAATGCACATGCATCCACAGAGCACAGGTCAGAGTGTTGTCTGTAATGCAAATGCATCCACAGAGCACAGGCCAGAGTGTTGTATGTAATGCACATGTATCCACATCCAATCTCAGATTGTAAACTCCAAGGAGCAGGGCCCTCCTAACCCTCTTGTATTGTTGCTGTATTGTCTCCCGTTATATTGTAAAGCGCTGAGCAATATAAATCCTGTATAATAATAATGGGCCAGAGTAAAGGCTTGATTCCTCCAGCAATCTATTTTTTTTAAATCCAACTCCAAGAATGATCATTTTAAGGAGGTCTTTAGCTCACCTTCAAAGTGATATATTGGTGACTTTTTCTCTCTTTGAACGAAGTTATGTTAGTTGTCCAGGCAGTACAGCTCCAGCGACACTTCAACTTGCTGCTTACATTTGTGCTGCACATCCCTTAAGTGGTGCTGGTGTCATGTGCTGCACATCCCTCAAGGGGTGCTGGTGTCATGTGCTGCACATCCCTCAAGGGGTGCTGGTGTCATGTGCTGCACATCCCTCAAGGGGTGCTGGTGTCATGTGCTGCACATCCCTCAAGGGGTGCTGGTGTCATGTGCTGCACATCCCTCAAGGGGTGCTGGTGTCATGTGCTGCACATCCCTCAAGGGGTGCTGGTGTCATGTGCTGCACATCCCTCAAGGGGTGCTGGTGTCATGTGCTGCACATCCCTCAAGGGGTGCTGGTGTCATGTGCTGCACATCCCTCAAGGGGTGCTGGTGTCATTTCTTCGCCCGAACTCAGCCATTCACTGCAGCTGGGCAATATGCGAGGGGCCAAATGGAGGGAATGGTGGTCAGAGACATGACACCAGCACATGTGTTTAATAGAAGAAAGCTGACGATAGCCATAAAAAGTTACAAGGGCTGTGGCTGAGCGCACAATTTTGAGTGAATAATTTTCTGTCAGTATAATGCCAAAATAATACGTGTACAAGAGCCCTGGCAGAAAGAAAACTCATTTTCTATTGGCTATTCTCCTCTTATACAGTATGCTTTGTGCTGAAGTGTGCTAAAACAGAGAAAATCTGAATCAGCAGACCAATTGTTATCTTATCCAAGGCAGCTGTTGTCCTCAATGTGACTTGCTATCTTTAAAGGCTGCATGGCTTACACACACTCCACCTTTCTAACAGTTACTGTGTCAAAATGTATGACTGTCAGCAACAGGAAGCGAGTCTAGTGATTGCAAAAACAGGGAACAATAGGTTAGGTATGCATCCTTGGCTGCAGTGTAAACTGCAAACTGAATACTTTTATTTGTGTTTTTACAATCCCTTTAACAATAGTTATGACACAAGCCCACCTCCACGCCACCTCAACTTCCCCAATGTTATGACTAATGGTAAAGGTGAACGGAGCCAGAAAATGCAATGCAACTGAGCTAGCCCAGCTAAGCCCAGGTTAATTCTTTAATGGCTTCAGCATTTGTTCAAGAACTGGCTCCTGCCAAGCTGTCTGGCAGAGGGTGGTAACAGAGGTTCTGAATTGGTGAAGTAATGCCTACAACATATTCTGTAAATGTCATTTTGCTATGTTTGAGAGAAGGGAGAGTGCCATGACTACATTGTCCTGTTCTAATTCACAGGGGTTTCTGCAGAGTAGTCACAAAAATTCCACTGATGTTATGCATGACCAGGCAATAGGAGAAACTGCAAATGATACAAATACAAAGTCTTGGAATGTACTTGTAATGAACAGTTCACATCATAATCAGGCAATTTTATTAGGATGCCTGTAGATCAGGTTAAAAAGAGTCTGCAAAAGCAGAGTGGCTACAAAGCTTTGACATATGGGTTAATCATCCATTTCTGACAATAAAAACCTGCAGCAGGTATCTGTGCCTTTATCTTATGTACTGGGGACAGTCATGAGACATGATTACTGAAGACAATACTACTGAAAAGCCTCCTGCAGATCGCAGATGAAGGACTAGGCAAGCATACAACTGAAAACGTGTAGCCAAGTGACAGGATTATGGACGAATTACTGGAAGAATTATACCTTAAAATCAATACAGAAAAGTTAATGGAGCGAATGAATAATATATGTGATAATAAATCATTTAGGACAAATGAAGTTGGTATTTTATCTATCTACTACAAATATAACCTTTCCAGACACAGGGCAATAGCTTAACAGATAGACAACCAAATCCCATCCATAATAAAATTTATGATGGCTTACCTCCATCTCCATCATCAGATCCTTTAAAGCTAGGCTCCTTCAACATGTCCAGCTCTGCAAGCATCCGAACATAGAGAACATTGTGACGGAAGGAGGGGTAAAACTTTTCATCCCGAAGCATGATGTCATATACCTTGTCGGGAATAAAAAACAATATGAAAATTATATGTACGTATCAGACAGAAAACACACCCCAACAATTTTAATAAAATATCAGTGATTGTAGAAAGTGAAGAAATGGAATGTGGACCCGTATGTTCATGCTTTCCACATTCCTTGACACAATCAGGCATAAACAGACTACAAAGAAAACCCCCATAGCAACAGCAATTAAAACACTAGAAAAAAAAAAAACAATTATTGTTGGACTTTACAATAATACAAAGAGGCATTATTTAATGCAAAGCTTTGGGTGCCAGAATGCCTTTTCTCAAGCAGTAATATAAAGATTTTTTTAAACAGATCCTATCGTAAGACCATTCAACACACAAATCTTCCCATAATAATATATGTGCATTTAGCATATGTTATGCATTTTTTTTTTTATCTGTAAAAGCCTTTTTTTGTGTAGATATCCAAATGGTCTGAGACTGTTGTTGAGCACTGCCATCTTGAATGTGATGTCGGCAGCTCCAACAGACCCAGAGTTGTCATTCAAATGACACACTGGAGGCCACTTACTAAAACTGCATCGTGCAAAATCTGGTGCAGCTCTAAACCGAAACCAATCAGCTTCCAGGTTTTTTTGTCAAAGTTTAATAGAGCAAGCTGAATTTAGAAGCTGATTGGCTACTGTGCACAACTGCACCAGTTTTAGTACATCTCCCCTATATATATTATTCCGCTTCACCCCTCTCCAGCAGCTACAATAAAGGCTTTGTAGGGAGGTGATAGGTGATGGGTGTTCAAGCTGTCCCACCCCCACAATCGGACACACCCAGGAGGGAGGGGACTGTGCTAGGGAATGGTCACATTTTCTAGCAAGTTCAAAAGAACATTGCAAGTGAAAAAAAAGTTAGTAAGAAAACAAAAAAATCAAAAACAAAAAAAAACAAACCACAGAGTAAGCATTTAAAATACTTGCTTTTTCTGTGCTTTTTACCAAGAATTATTTAAGATGATGACAGGGTCTCTTTAAGCCTGTGTAATGAAGTCATGTGTTTTTGCCATTAGCTGTAGCCTTAAATATGCTTGTAATCTGAAAACATGGTAAATTCTATAATACTTGTGGAAAACAATTTGTATTTGTATGCAGCGTTTCTTTAACCATTTGCCGCCGGCCCTATGGCCGAATGGCGGCCGGCAAATGTCATCAGCGTTCCGGGTGGACGCCATATGGTGTCCTCCCGCACATGCGCAGATTGTGCTCCTGCAGAGCCACGCGATCTGTCATCAGCCGTGTACCTCGGACACAGCAGATGACAGATCTGAGCATCGGCCCCCCGTTGCCGGTACCATGTGACCTGCTGTGACCAATCACAGCAGGTCACATGACAGTTGTATACAATGGATGGCTTCATTCATGCCCTCCATCGCATACTAGTGTCTAGCTGTGAATGGTCACAGCTAATCACATGCACATGTCATGTGATTAGCTGTGGCGAAATCACAGCTAAGCACAAAAAAAAAAAAAACAAAAACAAAAAAACCCTGAATGAATCAAGGTAAATTCAGGTAAATGCTTGCTTATAGCAAAGTAATTAATTTTGCTATAAACAAGTTGTGTAAAAAAAAAAAAATACTGATCACTTCCCCAAAGTAGTACAATGTTACTATGGTAACATTGTACTACTTTGGTCATAGTGAAATATGAAAAAAAATCTAAAAAAAAGAAAAAAAAATATATATATTTTTTTTTTCTTTTTTCATACTGTCACCAGTCAGTGTCCCTGATCACCGCCATGCCAGTTATATGACGACGCTGTACTGCACTGGTGACAATATGTGAAAAAGAAATAGTGAAAAAATGACGACAAAAAAATACAATTTCAAAAAACTCGCCATGCCTCTTATGAAGTATGTCGGACTGTCTACTTTGCAAAAAGGGGTCATTTGGGGGATATCTGTACTGTTCTGACATTCTTGGACCTCAAGAAATTAGATTGGCTGTCAGTACTTCAGGATTGATCAATATTCAGATCTATACCATAGTTTGTGAACTCTATAACTTTCCTACAAACTAAAAAATACATCCTAATTTGGGTTATTTTCACCAAAGACATGTAGCAGAATACATCTCGGCCTAAATTTATGAAGAACAATTATTTATTTGCAAACTTTTATAACAGAAACAAAGAAAAACGTGTTTTTTTTTTTCAAAATCTTTGGTCTTTTTTTGTTAATTTAGCAAAAAATAAAAACCCCAGCGGTGATTAAATACCACCAAAAGAAAGCTCTAGTTGTGTGAAGAAAATGATAAAATTTTAGTTTGGATACAGTGGTGTGTGACCGCGCAATTGTCATTCAAAGTGTGAGAGCGCTGAAACCTGAAAAATGGCCTGGGCAGGAAGGTGTAAAATTGCCCAGTATTGAATTGGTTAAAAGGGTCAATTCACTTAATCCGGATATTTGAGTAATTCCCACTAGCCTCTTATATCTCTAAGTAATTCCTGTGACCCTCGCTACTGTCCACCTTGCTGCAGTGCCCAAGCCATCCCTTTCTTTAAAAGGGGATGGCAGCACAGTAACAGCATAGGCAACGAGGTCTTTTGCCACTAAAGTGCGATTCCAGGAAATTTCGCCAATTGGAGTCCCATAACATATAAAAGGCTAATCAGTGAAGCACTGGTATCTATCCGTAATGGAATTGTCAGTTTAGGAATTCTAATCTTCAGTTGGAAAAGGTAGTGGAATTCTAGAATAAATAGACAAAAATGTGGTGAACAACCTACCTTTCTCTGGACCTCATCAAAGATCTCTGGTGTTGGGTCTTCATCGTTCAACACTTCTTCCAGTTTTGCTAATAAATAATCATCAATCTGAACTCTGGGTGATGCCTGCCATTGAGAACAGAAAAGAAGATGCTCATTTTAATCATTTTTTTGCAATAATTTCATTAAGAGCAATAAGCAATGTAAATTCAGGATTTGCCACAGAGACTGAACAGCTGAAGGATACAGGACAAAACAAAATGCCAGGAAAAAACATTAGCTACTGCACAGTACGCCACAGCACTTTACTGTGCAACAACTGTGTGTTCTGGATGAAGAGAGTGGTGTGTGCATATATCAGCGCATCACACAGGTTATTTTTTTACTCAATTGTATTTGAAGTGCACAGTGACACTTCATTCTTGTTACTGTACAGCAGCGCGGTGCATGCTGCTGTATAGCGTCATATGATCCTGTCCAGTGTACTGCGAAAAATTGCATTGCAGTGTCAATAGGACACATATAAAACCTTTTTTTTTTCTGTGTATTCCAGCAGTGACCAGCGTTCTTCCAGTGCAGAAAACCTCCTGACACCACACTATGTGTGAATTGGCCTTTAAAATGTTTGCCACTGATATACAAGGGGTGTTCAAGTCAAACCGGGACTTTTGAGCTTATATAATAAGAGAATGAATTTCAAAGCGTGGAAACTCTCCCCTGCTACATTTATACACTTATCCCCGTGTTTAACTAATGCCTGGAAAGCATTGGCATCAGGGTGGATAAAAATCAATGATTTTTTAAAAAAATCAAAAAAAAAAAAAATCTGATTTTTTTTTTTATTTAAATCGGATTTTTTTTAAATAAAATGCTTTTTGAGGAAAATATATTACCATCCAAAGGTTATTCCATCATGAAATAAAGATTAGTTTTTTAATTATGTAGAATAAGGCTGTATATGTTTAATTTTTTTGGTAAATAAATTCCATTAATCCATTCACAATGTCATGCTCTTCCAGAGGTTTTTGTAAGATTATTGGGCAGTTTCTCTGCCTACAAGATATTATCACAGATGCTTGGTTTACTTTGCAGTTCTCAAAACTGAATTTGACTCAGCGGAGATCACATGCCTCTTCTTCACAGCAAAAATGTTATAACATGAACAGAGTTAAGAAAAAGACCTTAATCCTAACTTCTACAAACCTATGAATACAGAATCAACCCCTTCAGTGCTAAGTTTCAAGAAGTTCAGTGAATAGAATAGAAACAATATTTTTCTGATTGTTTGGAGTGGAATAGATCTGCACAAGAAGAAAGTGAAACTAAGTGTTAGGAGGAGGGGCTGACAGTCTAAGTTTCTTAAAATATATAGATTTTGTTTAGCCAAATTAGTTAACAAACATGGATGTTTGTTTAAGCAAATAACATGCTGTAATGTTATTGTTTCAGTTGAATAAATCTATTTAAATTGTTATTATTAGGTAATGATTATTTTTCTCCTTCCTAAGTACAACAGAAAAGTTGTCCAAATATGAATGATTAACCTATTAAACTGGGGATAAAAAAACTAATATGAAAAGTTGTTATTCTAAAAATCTTCATCTACTTGCATATTAAAGTTATACCAGCAAGAATTAGTCTTTATGTAGAAAACTAGGATTTAAATCAAGCCTTACTGACTAGTGATTTAAATCGTGATTTACATCAGTTTGATTTAAATCAAATCCACCCCGATTGGCATAGATTTGTCAGAATACCTGAACCATCCTAGGACAGCCTGCTTCACTTCATCATCAGTGCTGAAATGATGACCTCAGAGGAACTCTTTGAGGGGTCCAAAGAGGTGGAGCGAGGTCTGGACTGTAAGGGGGATGTGGCAATGCCTCCCAGCCAAGTTGCTGTAACGTGCACATGTGGTGCGGTGAGCAGTATGAGCTTGTGCATTGTCCTGGAGAAACAGGACACCCTTTGTGATCAAACAGGCCATGTTTTCCACAGATGCGTATACATATCACTCAGGGCACAACAGTAATATTCCCTTTTGATAGTGGCATCACGGGGTAGAAAATCCGCATGAATAATGTTACGTTTGTCCCAGAAAACACTTGCTATCACTTTACCTGCAGAAGCAATTGTTCAAAATATTTTTGGTGTTGGCGAGTCCACATGCTTCACTGCTTTGATACTTGTTTTGATTCTGAAGTGAAATGATGTGCCCAGGTTTCGTCACATGTAATCCCCCATATAGTAATTCATCCCCACTATAGTAATTCATCCCCCCTATAGTAATTCATCCCCCCATATAGTAAATTCATCCCCCCTATAGTAATTCATCCCCCCTATAGTAATTCATCCCCCCTATAGTAATTCATCCCCCATAGTAATTCATCCCCCATATAGTAATTCATCCCCCATATAGTAATTCATCCCCCCATATAATTCATCCCCCCTATAGTAATTCATCCCCCTATAGTAATTCATCCCCCCTATAGTAATTCATCCCCCCTATAGTAATTCACACCCCCCCATAGTAATTCACCCCCCATATAGTAATTCATCCACCATATAGTAATTCATCCCCCATATAGTAATTCATCCCCCATAGTAATTCATCCCCCATATAGTAATTCATCCCCCATATAGTAATTCATCCCCCATAGTAATTCATCCCCATATAGTAATTCATCCCCCATATAGTAATTCATCCCCCATATAGTAATTCATCCCCCCATATAGTAATTCATCCCCCATAGTAATTCATCCCTCATATAGTAATTCATTCCCCATATTAATTCATCCCCCCTATAGTAATTCATCCCCCCTATAGTAAGTCCCCCCTGTGTCAATTCACTTACCTTTGCTCCGCGCGTTCCTCTCGCCGTGTTCTGGCGCCATTCCGGTGTAGCATGAAAATCTGTCTCCTATGAGGATCTGTCCCCCTGACGTATCTGCGCATGTGCCAGTTTCCGGCATTAGCAGCCGATCGGCGATCTCCGGCACATGCGCAGATACGTCGAGGGGGACAGATCCTCATAGGGGACAGATTTTCATGCTACACCGGTCTTCAGGGCGGTACTGTGAGAGGAGCCTAGCGGGAGCCTAGCTCCGCGGGCCGGATTAAAAGGTCCGCCGGGCCGTATATGGCCCGCGGGCCGTAGTTTGCCCATTGCCTTGACCTAGATCATCACTGACAGACGTATGGCCATTTTTGAAGAGTTTACACCATTCAAATGTATTACTACGGCTGAGTGTCTCATCACAGTACTGCACTTGAGGTCTTCTCTAGGTATTCGCGGGTTTTATGCCTTCCTGCACAGGAAACTTCACCACATGCTGTTCCATGCACGCACTAAAACTGGTGTCTGCCATCTTTATTACTAGTCTCTGGACTGGCCCGTGACATGTGTGCCGTCTATCACTAATAGGACACACTTGCCACTTACTACTTCATGTAGTGCCACCATGCTAGCATCCCTTTTTATACCTGTAATATTAAAAGTCCCGGTTTGACTTGAATGCAGCTCATATTAGATATTTGACTGTTTGTACCACAACAATCTGTAAACTAAGTAGTGATGCTTGTATGTACTGTACAGCACTATCATCTCTAGAGTAAAATTTGAAAAAACTCATAATTAGGATCTGGACTACAAATTTTAAATGAAATAAAAATACAGTAAATCCATTCAAATGGGCATTTAAGGGACAACAATTCCAGCATTTATAGCATTGCAGGTTTATTTAAAATTAAAATGAAATCTATAACTGCCACAGCAGACACTTTATAATATCATGTTATTAAATTACCATTTGCAACCAGCTTTGATTTTCTACAACGTTTTAAAACAGAAAAAAGGATTGTAAGAGGAAGTACACTTTCATATGCAAGAGATAAAGAACTTCTACAAGTGTTAGAGGCACTACTTTAGGCATATAGCTATTTTTCTGCATAGTGGAAAATCTGACTATTAAAAAGGATTGTTCTGTCTTATCTAAATTCTGTAACTGTCCTGCTGGGACAGCTTAATATTTCTCTCATTCAGCCTCGTGAGTAAACTAGAAAAATCATTTGATTCCCCCATCCACGACAGACAGTGTGAAAGGTGAAATCTTCCCTGTTTGCTATTGTATTCTGACCAGCCGCTGCTCCCATGGATGCCTGAATACCTGAGCAATGAATGCAGCTGACTGGCTGCAGGTACTGTTCTGCCCAGAATTCTCCACCTGGCTTTTTCCAATTTGTAGAATGGAGGTTGTAAAACCGGGCAGTGGCAAAAACAGATTTTTTTTTTTTTGTGTTAATGGGTCCTATGGGTTATACCACAAAAATTAGGTCAGTAAAATTAAACATTTGCAAAGTTTCAAAGCTAAAGGAGGAGGAAACGAAGCGCATATAAAAATCGCAATGGTACAAGAAACCTCCAAAAATGACATTGTAAGATTGCAGCTTTAGGGAAAAAGAAAAAGAAGCATGTTTCTATCAAGGAAGAATAGAAACCAGAAAGTAAGTAAACGGTCAAAAGAGTGCAGGTTTTGAAAGTCAGCACATCTGTAAACCAAATCAGATATTTGATAATTAATCATCACCCAGGCCAAGTGGAGCTTTCACACTAATGACTTTCAAATTAGGAAATAGATGTTCTGGTTTTAATACTGTAATGCCCATGGGTCACCAACAGATGGGAAAACATACCTTTTCTGATAAATACTGATCAAATACTCCAACAGCAGCAGCTCTTAAAAGACCCTTTGTTTGATTGGTCTGGTGTTTTCCATCTCGTTGCCGACTACGCAACACCTCCAGCTGCTGCTGTGCCGTCACCCGGTATCCCTCTACTGTAAGCCAGAAGAACAGATGTGCCTGCCCTCCTGTTTGCTGCATAAAATCTGTGGTAAATGGGAAAACTGGATAAGTCAAAGGTCATATTCACATTTATAGTGATAAAAAGACACAAATGAACTATTAGTTCTATGACAAAGTATATGGCATGCTATTTGTTACTAGGCTAATGGATGTTTACGTGTGTGTGTGTGTGTCTACACTTCTTTTGACATCCAGATACTAGTTTCTACATTGCTTGAAAAAAAATTGAGGATCAATTTTTCCTGCACTGGGGCTCATTCCAAATGTGCTGCGGAAACAAAGAGAGAGAGAAAAAAAAAAAAAGAGGGGGAGGGGGGGGGGGGAGAGAGAGGGGGGGGGGGTCGGGGGGTCGGGGGAGAGAGAGGGGGGGGTCGAGAGAGGGGAGGGGAGGGTCGAGAGGAGAGAGAGGTCGAGAGGAGAGGGGGGTCGAGAGAGAGAGATGGGGGGGGGTCGAGAGAGAGAGAGGGGGGGGGTCGAGAGAGAGAGAAGGGGGGGGTCGAGAGAGAGAGGGGGGGGGTCGGAGAGAGAGAGGGGGGGTCGAGAGAGAGGGGGGGGGTCGTCGAGAGAGGGAGGAGGGGTCGAGAGAGAGAGAGGAGGGGTCGAGAGAGAGAGGGGGGGTCGAGAGAGAGAGGGGAGAGAGAGAGAGAGAGGGAGGAGAGAGAGAGAGGGGGGGAGAGAGAGTCGAGAGAGAGAGGGGGGGTCGAGAGAGAAGAGGAGGGGGTCGAGAGAGAGAGAGAGGGGGGGGGCGATGAGAGAGAGAGAGAGAGAGAGGGGGTCGAGAGAGAGAGGAAGGGTCGAGGGGAGAGGAGGAGAGAGAGGAGAGGGGACGAGATGAGAGAGAGGAAGGAGGAGAGAGAGAGAAGAGAGGGGCGGGAGAGAGAGGAGAGGGGGAGAGAGGAGAGAGAGAGAGAGAGAGAGAGGGGAGAGAGAGAGAGGGATAAGAGAGGAGAGAGAGAGAGGGGAAAGAGGGGGGGAGAGAGAGAGAGAGAAAAGGGGGGGGCGAGGAGAGAGAGGAGAGAGAGAAGAGAAAACGAGGAGAGAGAGAGAGAAAACGAGAGAGAGAGAGAGAAAAGGGGGGAGAGGAGAGAGAGAGGAAAACGAGGGGGGAGAGAGAGAGAGAGAGAGGGGGGAGAGAGAGGGGAGAAAGAGATGGGGGAGAGAGAGAGAGATGAGAAAAGGAGAGGAGAGGAGAGAGGAGAAAACGGGGGGGAGAGAGAGAGAGAGAGAAGAAAAGAGGGGGGAGGGGAGAGAGAGAGAAAAGGGGGGAGGAGAGAGAGAGAGAGAGAGAGAGACGAGGGGGGGGAGAGAGAGAGGAGAAAACGAGGGGGGAGAGAGAGAGAAAAGAGGGGAGGAGAGAGAGAGAGAGAGGAACGAGGGGGGAGGAGGAGAGAGAGAGAAAACGAGGGGAGAGAGAGAGAGAGAAAAGAGGGGGCGGAGGAGAGGAGAGGGAGGAGTGGGGAGAGAGAGAAAAGGATGGGGGGAGAGAGAGAGGAGAGGGAAAGGGGGGGAGAGAGAGAGGGGAAAGAGGGGGAGAGAGGGAAGGAGAGAGGGGGGGGGGGGGCGAGAGAGGGGGGAGAGAGAGAGGAGAGAGAGAGAGAGAAAAACGGGGGGGAGAGAGAGAGAGAGAAAAAGGGGGGAGAGAGAGAGAGGAGAGGGGGGGGAGGAGAGAGAGAGAGAGAAAAGGGGGGGGGAGAGAGAGAGAGAGAGAAAACGAGGGGGGAGAGAGAGAGAGATGAAAACGAGGGGAGGAGAGAGAGTGGGGGAGGGGGAGGAGAGAGAGAGAGAGAAAACGAGGGGGGGGAGAGGGAGAGAGAAGAGAGGAGAGAGGAGGGAGAGGGGGGGGGAGAGAGAGAGAGAAGGGAGGGGGGGAGAGAGAGAGAGAGAGAAGAGGGGGGGAGAGAGAGAGAGAAAAGAGGGGGCGAGAGAGAGAAACGAGGGGGGGAGAGAGGGAGAAACGGGGGGGGGAGAGGGAGAGAGAGGGGGGGGGGGAGAGGGAGAAAAGAGGGGGCGGAGAGAAACGAGGGGGGAGAGAGAGAGGAGGGAGGGGGGAGGAGAGAGAGAGAGGGGAAAGGGGGGGGGAGAGGAGAGACGAGAGAGAGGGGAGGGGGGAGGAGAGAGAGAGGAAAAGGGGGGGAGAGAGAGAGAGGAGAGAGGGGGGGGGGGGGAGAGGAGAGAGAAAGGGGAAAACGAGGGAGAGAGAGAGAAGAGAGAAGAAGGGGGGGAGAGAGAAAAAAGAGGGGGGAGGGGAGGAAAAAGGGGGGAGAGAAAAGAGAGGGGGGAGAGAGAGAGAGAAAAGGGGGGGGAAAGAGAGAAAAGAGGGGGGAGAGAGGGAGGGGGCGAGAGAGAGAAAAAGGGGGGGGAGAGGGAGGGAGGGGGCGAGGGGGGGAGGGAGGGGGCGGGAGAGAGGCGGAGGAAGGAAGGGGAGAGGGAAGAGAGAGAGGGGGAAAAAAGAGAGAGAAAAAGGAGCGGGGGGGAGAGAGAGAGAGAAAAGGAGGGGGGAGAGAGAGATAAGGAGAGAGGGGAGGAGGAGAGAAAAAGAGGGGAGGAGAGAGAGAAAAGGAGGGGGGAGGAGAGAGAGAAAGGAGGGGGGGAGGGAGAGAAAAGGAGGGGGGAGGAGAGAGAAAAGGAGGGGGAGGAGAGAGAGAAAAGGAGGGAGAGAGAAAAAAAAAAAAAAAGAGGGGGAGAGATAGAAAACAAAGCGGGGGGGGGAGAGAGGGAGAAAAAGAGTGAGAGAAAGCAAATCTGGCATTCTTCAATTACTCCAAAGGCTCTGTATAGCAAGGAATACAAGAACATTTGTTTCAGATAATGTGTTCTAGAGATAAGGAGAAACTAAATATGTCCTAAAGCACAATGATGGCTTTGTAGAAATGATCAAACCGGAGTTTAATAATCAGATTATAACAGTCTGGAATTAGGAGGACCACATGAGCAGCTGAGTGACTGTTTAATTGCTACAGTTCGAAGCTACAGAAAACAGCTGTTTTGAGATCACTTTTTAAATGGTATTTAAGCAGCTCTGAATAGAAAACGAACCATTTGGAATAGAAGCTATTTTAGCAAATATATAACTATTAGGAGAGGAAGCTGGCTGGATCAGCAAGATCTCTGCATGATTATACTTTGCTCACTTCCTAACAGTCACAGACAGCAGTTAAGGCCAAGCACATAATGGCATACAGAACCAGCCAAATGAGAGGAGGGAAGAAGAGAAAAGTATAAGAAAAATTTACACATCCTCTACATCAGCAGAAGTACAAGCAACAGCCTAAGGGTTTTTTAAATACATGGGAGTCAGAATTGGACAAAAACACTACCACAAGAATGCATTCTATTAGATACATTCAAGAATATAGTGGTATGGTGTTCAAAGCAGACCTGAACTCAAAAAATTAAGATACATTATCTTATAGGAAACATCTGGGAATATGAATTATGTCTATGTGTAGTGTATCCTGCAATGTTTGGAATTTTTTCACAAGTAATTAAGAGGCACAGTGATTTTCCAATGCTTAGGCATTCCTGTTCTGTAGCCTCATAGCTGTATATCTACAGTGATAGTCCTAAAAGAGTCGGAATGATATTTGGTGAAGTCATTACTGTACTGGTAACTATTCTTCTTGCTAGAGAGGAAGCCTTCCCCACCTCTCCTACTAATTATTCCTCCACCAGTCATCAGATCAATCATTCATTGGTGGGCAGCCCTGGTATGAGGAATCAAAGCTCTGCCTCTACCAAGATTGCTCCCTCCAGAGCAGGGGTGGACTGACAACTCATGGGGCCCCCGGGCAATATGGGATCATGGGGCCCCTGTGTTCTTGCCCAAACTCAAAAAAGCCTATGAAAAAGGTACCAGGGGCATCTCATGGGGCCCCCTACTGACCCCAGGCACTCGGGCAGGGCCCAGGTTTCCAAATGGTCAGACCGCCCCTGCTCCAGAGACACAGACACAGCAAATAGCAATGCATGTTAAGTAGTTAATGGAGAAAAGATTAGCGGCAGGGGTCCAATGATCTATACTGGTGACTAAAACCTTTTGCCTGCCCTTTTTGGGCCCAGTTTCCACAGTACAGGTCCTCTTTAAAATGTATTTGTGAGGAGCATGATGTAACGCAAAAAACATACATCTATTAAAAAGATGCAAAAACATACTCACAAGCCATAAAAGTCATAAAAGCAGAGACAAGAAGTCAAAGGTGCCAATCGTGGACAGCATGCGTCCTCGGATAAAGTACTAACGCATTTCGGGAGTCAAACTCCCTTTCTCAGAGCTCTATTCATCTATTGCTCTGAGGAAGGAGTTCGACTCCCGAAACGCGTTGGCACTTTATCTGGGGACACATGCTGTCCACGATTGGCACCTTTGACTTCTTGTCTCTGTTTTTATTACTTTTATCGCTTGTGAGTATGTTTTTGCATAGTTTTAATAAATTTAGGGTTTTTGCGTTAATGCACGAGGAGAGTGCGCCGTTTTTTTTTTTTTTTTCTGCTAGTATCAAGATTTCCCAATCTATCAAGGGCAGCACCTCAGCCAGTGCATTCTTCCATTTTGAGTGCAGCAAGAGAGATTTGAGCGCCGGTTTCTGGTTACTGTTGGAGGAACATGATGTGTTTGGATGTGTTTGTATTTCCTTATTACAGTAGTTTATAATGAACAGCTGGTTACGTTTTACAAAGCAATTGTTAAAGATGTTCTTTAACGTATCATTAAACTACACTTTATTGCAGTATTTCTTTAAAAGTATGATCTCTTCCTCTGATGAAGCTTGCCATCATGAACATTTTTAATCAGCAGCAAATGTCTGGTTGATCCTGCTGATTTCATGCACTTCCAAAATAGAAAAGCTAAAAAACAGCCGATCCTCCATTTTCCAAGCTCACACCCTGAATCTTCTCTGTTAAGAAACCGCTCACCTTTCTCATTTATCCTCTGGAAGCCGCACCACAAGACGTTTTGTGGAATACGGAGGCTATCACTGATGGCCTCTCCCTATGAAAATTTTAGCTGTCTGGCTGCCATGCTGATCTACCGACTTCCTATTTGTTGTTTACTAGTCCCAGGCCAGTGATTTAGCAACTGTTTAAAATGTAATCTAAAGCCCAAATATTTCAGGTATGGATAGAGTAAGGAATGTTTAAGACATCTGTCAGGGTTTTCTTTTTGCTGCCTATTTACAATAGGGGAGAAATCCCTTCACATCCTCTCTTGGTGACAACAGGAAGAATGTGGAAATTCCAAAAGAAAGAAAAATTCCCTCTTAGGTGGTTCTCACAAGAACACGTGTACCCATTTGAAGAATTCCCCAGACTTGCTCTTGTGACAACTACAAAAGTTTGGATATCCCATCTCTTTCTGTACCAGAGACAAGAGAATCACAGAGATGTTGGTCTCCCCACTGGGGACACAGACAGTAACAGAAACATTACAGGAGTTTTTAACACGTCCATGCTCTGTCGAAAACTTTAGAAAATGGTTTGGCTTCATGTACACTTTAAAGGATAACTGTGCTAAAGACAGCAAAAAAACTGTTATTTTCAGAAAGGGTTCAGTAAGCTCCAGTGTATCTTTCAGCATAGGCTTCCTATAAAAGCACATTCTATTTGCCAAGTGCTCACAATTAATAATAATTTTACCTGGAGTGTAAACACAAAAAACAAGCAGCGTGACTCTACAGGACAGGCTGCATATTAACAAATGCACAAAGCAAACCAGTGTACACTATTCTGTAAGATTCAGAGCACATTTCATCCACTGCACATCAGACCACTCCATCATGCATTAAAAAAAAAAAAAAACACACAGATCCCAGACATCCAAACACACAAGCCTTTAGGCTGCATTCACACCAGTGATTTAGGCTGCTGGGAAATGCAGCCGCAGGAATCTTCTAATTCCTGCTGTGAGCAGCTAGGCGTAGCTGTCGGTCCCATTCACTATAATGCCAGGTAGCCAGGAGCCACAGCTATTCATGGCTGTCTGCATGGCTAGTGATCACTACAGGTATTCTCTAGCTCTGCTGATAGCAGCGAATAGCTAGGGCCGCTGGGGACCTGCCGTTATAGTGTAAGGGGCTGGCCACTGCACCTAGCCGAAGCAGGAATTAGAAGATTCTTGTTGCTGCAATTTGCACCATCCTAAATTGCCGGTGTGAATGTAACCTTAACCACTTCAATACTCGGCACTTTCACCCCATTCCTGCCCAAGACAATTTTCAAGTTACTTTGCTGGCGCATGTGGTTATGCAAAACTGTACCCATATAAAATTTTTAATTAGTTTGGTTTTTTTTTTTTTTTTTTTAAACAGATAGAAACTTTCTTTTGGTGGTATTTAATCACCACTGGGCATTTACAATTTTTGCTAAACAACTGAAAAAAAACATTTTGAACAAAAAAGTTTATAAAATTTTGCAAATAAGTAATTTTTCTTCTTCACTGATGTGCTCTGATGAGGCTGCACTGATGGGCACTGATGAGGCTGCGCTGATGATCAGTACCATGATTAGAAGTGTAAACCAAGTACTGACAGTCTTGCTGATTATCAGCTTTCCTTTCCTCACACAGACATAGTGATAACCGGCAAGTCTGTTTACATATGATTAGCTGTGATTGGACACAGCTGATCGCATGATAAAGGGCCACTGTGATTGGCCCTTTACCTTGATCTGTGATCAGCTTGTGTCCAAAGCACACAGTGATCACAGAGTGTGCTCAATGCGTGCACAGGGGGTGAGGATGTTCATGGACGACTCCCAGAAAAAGATTATCGCACTGTAGCTGTCTTTTGGCTATAATGCGGTCAGGAAGCAGTTAAGCTGGGCATACACCAGAAGAATTCAGTCGAAATTCTGAAAAACTGTTCAGAGCATTCTAATGTGCCATTGTTTGGACAATCAAGTTCAATTGGTTCAAATTTCGCCCAGACCTGCTATTTGAATGGTGAAGTGGATTTTACTTACCCATAAAAAACTGTAGTGCAACGTTGTGTATAAGAATTTTGTCCAGGGGGACTGTGCAAAGTTTTCCAAAGTTTGCAGTCAACTTCACAGTATCAATTTCCTGTACAAACAAAAAGGTATAAAAGGTGTTATTCTCCCCAAAATAAGGTTTAGGGCAGCAACTGTATATAAGCTTTAAAAACAAGTTTAACAATAATGATTACTTTGAGGGCCCATTCAAACCTGTCCACTTTAATGCATTGTATTAATTGGGGTGCATTAAGTTGCATATGAACATGCATTACATTAAGCAGCCTATTTTGAATAGGTTGCCAACACTTCAGAGCAGAAAGAAAACATAGCTGTGCCATTTTGTATAATGAAGCACACAACACCATAACACACAGCAGAGTGTAATCATGATCTTGTGGTCTGCTGCCATGCAGGTGTGTCGTTTAGCTGTGCTGGGGTCCCATTCAAAACGAATGGCACTGAAACACATGTAGTATGCAGATAGAGGACCATACAGCAAGGAATAGTCATTTTCCCAGTCTATAATTTGAATCCAGTTATTAAAAAAGCTGAAAAGAGCAGCAATTTTTAAAAAACTGCTTTAAAACTTCTTTGAAAACTCAGACTCTGCATGAAAATTGAGTGAATTTGTCATTTACAGTTGAACTCCAGGCCCAGATTAAAAACACACCCCTTAATTTGCACCCTATCAATAACAAGCCCAAGTATTACATTACAATTTGCTTAACTAGCTTAAAAAAATCAGTTCTTAATTTGACCTCTAGTATTGCGTTGCCGATTGACTCCAATTTAAAAGTCACCGAACTGTAAGAATGTACTGTAGCATTGTCCATTCCATATGATGTCAATGCAAGCTACAGGGAACACATTTCAAGGCCCATGGTTAAGCTCTACAATGGGTAGAAAGCAAGAGAAGCACAGGAAGCAGAAGTGAAAACTCAGAAGAAATAATTTATTAGTGTCACCTGACAAAAGGCTATGGAATACAGGCTAAGATATGGGCAAAACAATTTCTATCAAAGAAAACAGTTATATTAAGGTAGATTTAATGCTGGCGGTCCAATGATTATGGCTATAAATGATCACAATTGCCTGGAGTTACACTGTTAAAAAAATAAAGGCTAAAAGTGTTGAATTATCCCAACTTGAATGAGATCTTATAATGTAATAGCTCTGAATCTTAAAAGAAAAGACAATGAAGAATGCCATCTGAGTGTATGGATAAGGTGTCCTCTCTCCCCAGTTTGTGGTCTCAACGATACTGGGAAATAGCATATGTATCCTTTAAAATGTGCGGAAAACATGACTAAAAGACCAACCTCCAAGTGTTGCATTGCTAAATTATGTAATAGTGGGCACTTTAATGTTTTTCAAAGCAATGATAATGCCATATTACATTTCTCATTTACACAGTAGCCAGTTAATTGGCAGATCTTTGACACATGTTCTAACCTCGTGCAGATAAGAAAAAGGTAGAACAACTTATGCAACTCTGGACTGTATAGTTATTTGTTATATGTTCAAATCTGAATAACTTGATTTTCTTGCATGAATACATTACATGTTGTCACTTGTTATTACTTTAGTACGTGAGTGACATACTAAAGAGAATAATTCTACCAAGTGTCTAATTTTTGGAGGAATATCTATTTTTTACTTAGTTACTATTTCTATTAATTCGGAAGGCAAAGTAGAATAACTAATGCCAGGAACACATGGTGTTAAATATTACATATGACCATGTTTTGTTATGCTATCACAAGTTATTATTATAAAGTTTGATCCTTAAAGTGGTTGTAAACCTCTGAAATGAAAAATGAACAGAGCATATGCATCTATAGTGTGTACTTGCCTCAATCACCTCAAAGCTCCTGTTACTTCTGTCCTCCCTCTGCTATCTGTATAACTCACTTCTGACAGGACATGCCTACACCTCAGAATCTTGGGAGCTGACCACTACCCCCTCCCTTTCCAGCACACATAAATGATTGACAGCCTCTGCTGCATGTTTTCGTATGATACTGTGCAGAGGGCGGAGTCTCCATTTCCTCCACTCAAGTCTCAGATTACACTCAGCTCTCAACACTATGCTTGCAGTGTGTGATGTCACATCCCCAATCCCTGCCTGCTGCAGCTGAAAAATAACCTTTGATATCTATGTTTTAAAATTCTGTAGCGGAGAGAGGGTGGCAAATAAAGAGGTAGAACCTATGTAGGAGGATCTGTTACATCTCTGTGTATCACTTCAGTGGGTATATGTAAGGGTTTACAACCACTTTGACAACATTACAATGCCAGTTCAACAACTTACTTTTCCAGACTGCAACCTCTGTATCCTTGTTTCACATACTTTCTTTACAAACAGTAAACTGTTTATCTGGTTTTTAATAGTGTTGATATCTAGCAAAAAGACAAAAGCAAAAATCTGTCGTCAAGTACTGCACAACCTATCGCACAATATGGGTGTAAGTGAATACTGTGCAGTATGCATATTAAGAACACGACTGTATCTTCTTACCAGCAGTATGCTTTCTAAAGATTAAACCTGCATCAGTACATTCAGCTATATTATTCTGTTAAAAAAACATTGAAGCCTGGATAGTAACTACTAACGATGGGTAGAACAGAGCATTAACAGGTACTTCTGTATTTTCCTAATGAGGTACTAGGATCCAAAGAACCAAGAACACTAGATGAATAGAGACTGTAGTATAGTTAACTCCTGGAAAGTAGCAAACCAACAAATATGCTGATACGTCACGTGGCTTCTCACTAAATTGGCTTAAAGGATAAGTTCACCTTTGGGAAAATGTTCACCTTTGGGGTGCCCACCGCCCTCCCTCTGACAGATAATACAGGGATAGATTCTTAACACAGGGAGAAGATTCTTAACACAGGGAGAAGATTCTGGCACTGTCAGCTTTGAAAACAGCGTGCCCGTGCGGGGCTCCACCCATACGGCCGCATCATTCAATCATGGACTTCTGTGAATGAATGAACTGCAAGTCCAGACAGCCTCAGCAGCTCTGGCCTTGTAGTTTTCAATGAACAACCACGGCACTGTGGGGCGCCATGGCAGTTCATTCAAGCTTCCTGTCAGAATCTCTGCTTGGCCGTAGATCCCGTACGGCAATCAGATATTCTGACAGGTCTGCAGGAGACCTGCATGGCATCAGTGATCTACTGATCACTGATGCAATGCTTTCCAGGCTCTTTGGGCAAAAATAATAAATGCACATTATTTTACCTGCAAAAACATGTGCATTTATTATTTTTGTCCAAAAGGTAAACTTATCTTTTAAGCCCTGGTTCACGCTAATGCGGTGTGACAAATCGCATGTGATTTGCACAGGAACCGCACTACATTCCTGTGCAATTCACATGCAATGTCTGTGCAGTGCGATTTTAGCCATACATTTTGTATGGCTCAAATTGCACTGCATCAGCACCAAAAAGTGCACGACCCTTTTTTTTTTCCCCGCACCTGATTCCCATCGCATGGGTGTGAACACCCATGCGATGCAAATTCTGGTAATCACACTCTGTTTTGCGATCTGTTTCAGGGTGTTGTTAATTTAAAAGCTGTACCAGATCGCATTGGACGCCATGCGATTGCAATGCGCTGCAGGAAACGCACAGGATTTGCTGCGTTTCCAGCATTGCATTAGTGTGAATAAGGGCTTAAAGTGCTTTTAGAATGAGCTCTACCTGCATGATTTAGTGCTTATGTAATACAAATAAACCTTGCCTGTAATACAAATATACCTGTAGAAGGACAGGACACAGCATTGATAGATTACAGGTACTGCAGAGCACTGACATACCCTCACTATTGGTGAATCATCCATGTGTAGGAGTTTCAAATGATGGTGATTGAATCACCACCAGTGAATGAATGGTGAAAGTCATATTGTTGATTTATAAATAGGCTTTCTAAAAGCACAAAACTATAAATTCAGCTAGCCACATACATTCAAACTTGGTCTGTCAGATCAACAAAACTGTCTGCAACTACATAGTGTATGGTTTCTAGCTAAACAATCAGTTATATGCAAGCAGGTAAGGACACTGCATGGTTCTCAGTAAATCATGTCGATTTGACAGATCAAAATCTGACTCTAATCATTTTAATAATTTGTGCAACATTATCTAACTGTGATTAGACATTCAGGGGGACAATTCACTAAAGGCAAACTAAAGACCTTAAAATCAAATCACAGAAGGAAATAATTAAATGCATGCAGTAATTAAGTAGTGGTCTAGGCATGCAGTATGTACTGGTTGTTAAGGAGCGGGCGGCCAACGCGTCCTTAAAAACCGATGAGTTATCAGCTGTCAGTGGGAATTCACCCTCCATCAATACCAAGCCTTTCAGGTCTGTTATGGATTTTTGAGGGGAACCCCCATTCACCCCCCTAATGTGAATGAGAATGGGGTACATGGTACCCTAACTCATTCACCAAAAAGAGAATCGTAACTGTAAAAAAACACTGGAGGCAATTTTTAATAAGTCCTTTAGTATAAAAAACAAAAAATAAAAAAAATCTCCCAGTGTATTTTTATTGTCAGTCACGATGCCCTGTGTTTCTGCCGTGAGCCAAATTGCTAGTAACAATTACTCTTAATGCATTTATATAAAATGCAGCAAATGCGATGCTTGGCTACAAATTGCTGAAGAAGAGCGAGTTGTAGCAGGTCAGAATCCAGTTTTGTAGCAAATCACCAAAGACTCGAGAAATTAAATCACTAGATATAAATTGCTGTTAAATGGCTTGTGTCATTAGTCTAAAACATATTTTGGTCTTTATTTAGCTGCTGTGCCTTCAAACCCCATCACTTTAGAGTGCCTAGGAGGCACAGGTACAGCTTCCAGCCCCACTGCCTGTAGCCTGACAAAGACTTTAGCAGATGGAAATATGATGCAGCTGGACGGGGATGAATGCTGTACTGAGTGGCACTCACGTTTTGGGCTCTATGCATTCAGGGATGAATGCCCAGAAAGCAGGGATTCTGTATGCATAGGACCCTAAAAGCCACAGCATATTTTTTTATGACCGGATGCTGGACGGTGCACTCGTGCCTCTTGGGCGTACTAAAACGCCAGGACTGGAGGGCTACCAAGCTCCAGGATCTCATTGTAGACAAACACCCATCTCTAGTGAACCTGGATCTTCTGAAGAACACAGGATAAAGATGAATGAGGCAAACTTGATTTTCAGATCCTCAAATTTTATCCTGTACAGTTACTCTTCTAGACCAACACGAGCATACTCTCCTATATAAAGAAATCAGCACACTTAAAAGATCACTGGTGTTTTACATACCATCTCCAACAGTATCTAAAGATCGCAGATACTGCAATTCTTCAGCAGCTTTGTCCCTCACAGCTTCCAACTCTCCAGCATTGTTGCTTAATTTAATAACATTCATGAAGGCCTCATAGTTGCAATTGGAATCACGAATCTAAGAGCAGACATGCAAAGCGATTAGAGCCTGTCAAAGTACAAGCTTTGAAGGAGAGGACATATGAAACTTCTATTGATACCAGACGTATGTTGTTTGCATTTATCATCATTAGAAAAATGAGAATACAATTTGATGCTATGACCACTTCTGCAAGTAAAATAAATGCAATTACTGGGAAAAGATAAGAACGTTTGAGGTGCTTTTCAAAAGCAATAGAATTCATTGGGGTCTTTATAAAAGGAAGAAACATGTGAAGACTCGCCTTAGGTTTCTGGTCTGCTTGGCTGCATAGATACCAAAAGCATGGCTAATAGCCCAACTCAACATCATCCGTGTTCTAGAGAACAAGCTGGGCACACACTCAAGACAACCTAGGCCAACAGGCAAAAAGTCCATAACCATTAATAAAAGCAACATAATAGTATACTTAGAATATTAGGAGAGAAAAAAAGAGATGACTTTCACATAGGGCAGATTCTGTTCCAATCGGCAGGGGATCAGCTCACATATTCCCTGCTGATCGGAGCTGAGTAGGTAGATGACAAATCCGTGTCTGCTAATTTCTACAGAGTGGATAAGAACAGAGTTCGCTCTGAGAGCAGCCAGGAGTAAATGGACTCCACTATCCGTTTACACCCGACTATCCTTAGATACGCTCCGCCTAACCAGCAGAGGACTGATCCCATTCAGTTTTTTTTTTCTTTAGCAGACCTGCTCAGACCTGGAGATAGGAGAGTTTAAACAGAAGCAAGTCTGTTTACACCCGCCTGTCCATAGAGATGAATTAACTTCCGATCAGTCCTGCCTGAAAAGCTGACAGGCAGACCTGATCAGAACGGCCGTGTAAAAGGGGACGTATGGTTACATTACAGGTGCATGCCCCACTTACATTAACACAGAAATCATCATGGTGCTTAGGATCCATCTGTGGAAAACCACACAGGACAACCCCTCACCTTCCCTACTACTGTTAATTCCACTTGCTGCCGAAACATGGTGTTGTGGTTAAGCCTTTAAATGTAAGAATTGCTGTGTCTAAGCAAATCTTTTCATGTGACAACACTGAAGAAATGACACTTTGCTACAATGTAAAGTAGTGAGTGTACAGCTTGCATAAAAGTGTAAAATTGCTGTCCCCTCAAAATAACTCAACACACAGCCATTAATGTCTAAACTGCTGGCAACAAAAGTGAGTACACCCCTAAGTGAAAATGTACAAATTGGTCCCAAAGTGTCAATATTTTGTGTGGCCACCATTATATTCCAGCACTGCCTTAACCCTCTTGGGCACGGAGTTCACCAGAGCTTCACAGGTTGCCACTGGAGCCCTCTTCCACTCCTCCATGACGACATTACGGAGCTGGTGGATTTTAGAGACCTTATGTTCCTTCACCTTCCATTTGAGGATGCCCCACAGATGCTCAATAGGGTTTAAGTCTGGAGACATGCTTGGCCAGTCCCTCACATGTACCCTCAGCTTCTTTAGCAAGGCAATGGTCGTCTTGGAGATGTGTTTGGGGTCATTATGTTGGAATACTGCCGTGCAGCCCAGTCTCCAAAGGGAGGGGATCATGCTCTGCTTCAGTATGTCACAGTGCATGTTGGCATTCATGGTTCACTCAATGAACTGTAGCTCCCCAGTGCCGGCAGCACTCATGCAGCCCCAGACCATGACACTCCCACCACCATGCTTGACTGTAGGCAAGACACACTTGTCTTTGTACTCCTCACCTGGTTGCCGCCACACACGCTTGACACCATCTGAACCAAATAAGTTTATCTGGTCTCATCAGACCACAGGACGTGGTTCCCGTTATCCATGTCCTTAGTCTGCTTGTCTTCAGCTAACTGTTTGCGGGCTTTCTTGCACATCATCTTTAGAAGAGGCTTCCTTCTGGGATGACAGCCATACAGACCAATTTGATACAGTGTGCAACGTATGGTCTGAGCACTGACAGGCTGCCCCCCCCCACCCCTTCAACCTCTGCAGCAATGCTGGCAGCACTCATACGTCTACTTCCCAAAGACAACCTCTGGATATGACGCTGAGCACGTGCACTCAACTTCTTTGGTGGACCATGGTGAAGCCTGTTCTGAGTGGGACCTGTCCTGTTAAACCGCTGAATGGTCTTGGCCACCATGCTGCAGCTCAGCTTCAGGGTCTTGGCACTCTTCTTATAGCATAGGCCATCTTTATGTAGAGCAACAATTATTTTTTTCAGATCCTCAGATAGTTCTTTGCCATGAGATGCCATGTTGAACTTCCAGTGACCAGTGTGAGAGAGAGAGCGATAACATGAAATTTAGCACACCTGCTCCCCATTTACACCTGGGACCTTGTAACACTAGTGAGTCACATGACACCGGGGAGGGAAAATGGCTAAATGGGCCCAATTTTGACATTTTCACCTAGGGGTGTACTCACTTTTGTCACCAGCGGTTTAGACATTAATGGCTGTGTGTTGAGTTATTTTGAGGGGACAGCAAATTTACACTGTTATACAAGCTGTAAATTCACTACTGTGTGTGTGTAATATATATATATATATATATATATATATATATATATATATATATATATATATATACATACACACATATACACACACACACACACACATATATATACATAAATTGCCGGTGCTATATAAGTACCTGTAAAAAAGAAATGAAATAATGAAAAACAGTGTTAATTTGCTTTTTTTCCCCCTAGTGGGCTGTTTGAGGGAAGCAGGGTGGGGACCACCACACATTACTGCATGAAGAAGTACAATCAAATCAGGGCTTTCAATTTTTAACTACCTGTTTGTACAGGCTCCACTGAACATATATGCAGCATAAAAATCATCATTCAATAGTTTTAAATTTTCTTGAAGTGCACATTGGGACCACAAAAAAAGGGTGCTTTGATATGCTACCTACCGTGGTCACTAGCCCTGACCCATCTTTTCCTGTTCCGCACCATCATAGACAGAAGGGTGTGGGGACCAGAGATTTTACCCACTAGAGGGGATCTGTGTTAGGCTTAGTTTACACTTGCGGTTGGGGAGCAGCAAAAATAAGCAGCAGAGCAACATTTTTAACTGTCCCCCCTTAGGCTGTAAAGGCAACCGGACATGACTGCACACATGCAGCAGCTGCAATACAGGGGGGGAAAACTATCAAGTGAATGGGGCCATGCTACAACTATGAGCCAAACACTAGACTAAGTATTCCCATTCAAACGACTTTCTCCAAAAATTCACACATTTTTATAATTGGATTCAACTGGAAAAAATGAGAGAATTCTGGGAGAGTGTGAAAACATTTATATGTAGACCCCTAGGAAAACTAAAACTAGAGGCAGGTGCCTGTAAATGCAAAATACACTATGCAATTATGTTTTTTTCAGACCACAGGTTCACTTTAAACTGAAAAGCCAACTTAGTGCAGTTCTCTGGATCCCTAATTTGTGTCAGAAAATTAGGGAAACAAGAGAAAATATACAATGGCAAAACAACCACAGATACACAAACAAAAGCACCATGGAATTATATGAAAAGGAAAAGGTGAAAAAGGAGTCTGTCAAAAGTGGTGCTCAAAAGACGTATCAGAATTAACATGAACAAAAAAAACATTTTATGCATTTTCTGGATTTTTTTTAACACATTAACTATAGATAATGCTTATTTAACTACAGAAAGCTTTGCCCATGACAAATGATAACGGGTTGTAATTTTTATAGGGCACAGTTATAGCAAACACCATTCTAAACAAAAGTAGGAAGCCAGCAAAGAACAGCCAGTGCAGCAGTACAGCTGTAGAATGGTATAGAAAGATATACATTGCAATCAAAAACACATTGGGGCTTTACTTTCTAAAGGGGGTTAAAGTATTACTAAACTCAGGACCCTGCATCCACTATATCTGGTCTCCCACAGTACACACAACATGGAAATGCAATTATTTTAGTAAATATAAACTGCAAAAATACTTTTTTCTCATTAGAAGTTAGAGCAGTCCTGTGACTTCTATCAGTGTTCAGCAGAGCACTGGTTAAAACTTGCAGGAGGAGTTTTCTTTCTGCTCTAGGAGAATGCAAAACCCCTGATCACAGAGAGTTCTTGTGATGTGCTGATCAATGCACTCCCCACTCCCCCCCCCCCCCCCAAAAAAAAAAACGCTCTAGCAATACACACCAAACGGAGCATGTGGAAAATGCCTACAGTTCAGAGGTGGTTGCTTGAAAAAGGGGAGGAACAGAGAAGAAAGGATCAAACTGCCTTTTTTACACAATGCAGAGGATTAACCCTTTGGTTCTACAGTGAGTATAACAAGCATGCTTTACTGCATATACAGGCTGATTTTACTGTTGTGGGTTTAGTAAAACTTTAAAGCCAAATTCCAGGAATTAGAAAAAAAAAAGAAAAAAAAAAAAAAAAAAAAAGAAAAAGCTTTCTCTGTAGTTGGCTCACCATCTTCCCCACTGCAAGCATTAAATGCTCGTTAGGTCCAGGGGGTACAAAAATATAATTACTTACCCAATCCAAGCACCAGTCTGTGGTTGGTCCCTGGACATCACATACAATGCAGAGCTATTAACCTTGTATTTTTCATGGTGGGGGTGAATGTGTTTCCATGGCCAGAGCAATTAAGAAAGGGGGCTGCAGGTGACCAGTCCTACTCTGGAGGGACTCTCCTGGAGCCCCAAATAAGGTATTTCTCCTTATTCCAGCACCCCTAAACCTAATGAGCATTTAACCCTTGCAGCAGAGGAAGCCCCCAATGGAAGGGAAGATTTTGAACTAATTCCTGGAACTGGGCTTTAATGTGACAGACAAACAGCAGCAGTGATGAACGATATTGTTTTAACCTTATGAAAATTGACAATTAACACACAAAGACATTAAGGAAAGGCAGATAAGAACACCAAATCACAATATCTGAAATAAAAGGGCAAACACTATCTATTGGAATTTGCTCCCTGTTGGTCTATTGGCCGCCCCAAAAATATACCATCAAAAGATGCAAAAAAATTATCTTGACTTCCTGCCAGAAATCAAGTGCTGTGCATTCTGCTGCATCATCTCAACCAGTCTAACCAGCCCTTCCCAGTACTAGAAAATACCTCACCTCATTTTATGAGGAGAGGGGGGGTTGTTACCCTAGGACACAAAGGAGGGAGGGGGGTTACTAAATTGGCGCACACGTAATCTGGTGCAGATGTGCATCAGCTTCTAACTTGATCAATTAAGCGAGACAAAAAAGTCTAAGAGGTTAATGGTTACTATGCAGAGCTGCACCAGATTCTGTGCGCTCCAGTTGTTAAAGTGTGTAAAAGTGTGTTACTGGCAGGATCACCAGCTAAAGAAAAGGCAAAAAGGCCAGAATAAAGAAAATGCAGCTATATCTTAGGACTGGTAAATTTGAAAATATTATACTTTGGTTCTTGAGTTTACATATGCTCGAATAGGAGAAATTATCTCCAAAAGGATGTAAAAAAGCCCCAACAATGAATTCACTGCACACATTAGGTATCACAGTTTGCTGAAGTTACCGCACACTAAAAATGCAGCAGAGATATGATAACTGTATTAGGTCTATATAGTTCCTTTGACTTTATAACGATCCTGTCAAATTATGGAGAATTTCAGTAAGCTGCCCTGTGTTCAGCAAGTACTGTGACTTTATTATCAACGCATTTAAACTTACCATCCAAATTATATATTGATTAATATAATCAGGATCACTGAGCTGGTTAATTAAAGGAAGAAGAATTCCTCGTGAAAGGATTTCCTAAAGAAAGAACATAAAAAATATAAATGCATATAGCAGCTTTATACACATTATAAAAACAATTAGATTTAAAGTGGTTGTAAAAACATGAAGGTAAAAAAACCTTCTGTATGTAGCAGCTCCCCCAATACTTACCTGAGCCTCATCGCAATCCAGCGATGTGACTGACAGCCTCAGCTGTACCGGGTCTCTGCCTCCTCATTGGCTAAGACAGCAAGCAGGAGCCACTGGTTGTTAACCACAGCCAGTAAGGCAATGAAGAAAGAGAGGGGGCGGGGTCAAGTCGTGGCTCCATGTGTGAATGGACACACGGAGCAGCGGGTGCCCCCATAGCAAGCTGCCTGCTGTGGGGACAACCAAACGACAGGAGGAGCCAGGAGAGCCTGCGGGGGACCTGAAAGAGGAGGAACCAGGCTGCTCTGTGCAAAACCACTGCACACCGCATGTAAATATAACATGTTTGTTATTTTAGATTTAAAAAAAAAAAAAAAAAAAGGTTCTTTAGAACTGCTTTAAAAAGGGACAGAGCAGCAGCTGCAGGCTCAGCAATGTAAATAAACGGTGCAAGCCTGCTTGAACCCCTGTCTGGGGGGTGCATCCGCTTGTTGACCCACGCTGCAGTTGGACACAGTGTGATTTTGTCATCAGGTCTCTGCCAATGATTTATTGCTAGGACCTGCTGATCATCTGTGTCCAATCACAGAAGAGAGTTCTGTGTTTACAAACACATGGCTCTGTACACAGAACAGCAATGTGGCCACTTCTATCACCAGATCTGTTAGTAATAGCAGTACATATTCCACACATTACATATAGTTAGGCACACATTTAACCTTTTGATAGCCCCAGATGTTAACTCCTTCTCCGGCAGTGTCATTAGTACAGTGACAGTGTATAGTATTAGCACTGATCACTGTATTAGTGTCTCTATTGATGTCAGTGTCAGTTAGTGTACCTCCCAGCCAGTGTCTCTAGCACCAAACTGCTCACCACACAATCACAGTCACTAATCACAGCCATTACCAGTATAGCATTGTGACAGAGGGTAGGCAGGACAGAACACACAGAGCAGATAGCAAAGCTTTATTGAGACAACAAAATGACAGTCACTCAATGGGGAAATGGCAGGGAGGGTGATCTCGCCAGTAGGGGGACAGCAAGGAGGGGCTAAAACACTTTTAGTCCAGTATCGAGAGCAAAGAAAAAGTCTCTGTAGCAGATTGTAATCCAACAGGGGGGTTAGGGAATCATCACAGGGACAGTTCAGGTAAAACAGGGGAAAGCATATGCCCACGGATCCAACAGGGTGTCCGGTCTCCCAGGGACAAGAAAGTAAGACATCGATACCTGTTGGAGGTCTGGGACAGGCAAGGGGTCTCTCCCTTTGGGCTGGGTGTCTCAGGCAGGCTGGCTTGTGCGGTCTCCCCCCTTTGGACTGGGGTCTCAGGCAACAGGCAGGCAATCTCCCCCCCCATGCTGGGGTCTCAGGTAAGGCTTGCAGACAATCTACCCCCGGGCTGGGGGTCTCCTGCAGGCTGGCAGGCAATCTCCCCCTAGGCTTGGGGGTCTCAGGCAGGTAGCAGGTAATCTCCCCTTAGCTTTGGGTCTCAGGCAGGTGTGGGCGATCTCCCCCTAGACTTGGGGGTCTCAGGCAGAGTCTGGTCACGAGGGTCCCGCCACAGCTGGGTTCCCTCTGTGACTGCACAGCAGAATGGATGATCGGAGAGCCCGGCATCAGCCTCTTAAGCTGATGCAGGGCGCTCTCCGGTCGTCCTGGCAACTGGAGGCCGGAGTGGCGGGCCTCGTCGCCCGGCAACGAGGCATGCCCCCTGGACATGTGCTGCGCTTCTCGTGAGCGCGACCTTTGTCCAGGGACATCCGCAAGCGCGGGAATTTCCCGTCCTCGTGCTGCGGATGACAGGGATCGTGCGGGGTCTGTCTGTCACCGTGATCCCTCTCATCTCTGCAGGAGGCTCGCACCTCTCCGAAGAGAGGTGTGAACCTCGCTATCCCATCTCTTCCGGCCTTGCTGGATGGGGACAAGATAGTGGTAGAGGTGAGAGGAGCCACACCTCTCTCCCTTAACGGCTCGGCTTCAAAGAGCTGCGGCAGGATGAGAGACAGCAGGGGGTCACCTCAGATGCGGGCCAGCGGAGGGGGGAGAGCGCCCACTGTGACAAGCATCATAACAGCATAAATGCCAATATATATACCATAGTTTGCAGACGTGATAACTTTTGTACAAACCAATTAATAGACGCTTATTGGGATTTTTTTTACCAAAGACAGCATAATACATTTTGTCCTAAATTTATGAAGACATTTTTTATCTTTTTTAATTTATATAATAAAGAATAAAAAACCCAGTGGTGATCAAGTACCAACAAAAGAAAGTGATTTATGTGAAAAAAAAAAAACTGTTTAAATTTCATTTGGGTACAGTATTGCATGATTGCGCATTTGCCAGTTAAAGTAATGGAGCGCTAAATAGCAAAAAATGGCCTGGTCATGAAGGGGGTAAAACCTTCCGGAGCTCAAGTGGTTGAACAGGATAATCTTACCCTCACAAAGTATCGCATGATCTTATTCTGGAAGTCTCCAGGAGGTAGCAATAAATACAGTAAAACTTCACATAAATCCTTTAGGAAACCTAAAAATACATATATAAAATGTAATATTAGTAGAAGAACTCTTTTCTCTATCACACACTAAGATTAATAAAGTGGGGGAGAAGAAATCTTTCCTTACATCAAAATCCCCTCAGTTGAAGTAGAAAGCCAATAGGCAATTTATGGATTTTCACAGATAATAATTAAAGTTCAAGTATAGACATGTATAAAAGTCTCCCATTTAATCCGGTTATGTATTCATTTAAAACTACTGTAGTTTTAAATAGTATATCTATTTGTCTTTGTATCAGGCACACTTGTAAGCAGCTCCACAATTTTGAAACACAGTGCTCTCCATTCATCCTAAAACATGCTCTCCATGTTCTATTAAAAGCTCTCACACTTACCAAATGGGACTACCTGGAGTGCATTGCTTCTGTAGGGCTCAAAGCAAAAGAGCACCTTCAAAAATGAATTTAGGCTAACAAAAGTGCTGAAATGTAAGCACCTTGCAAGGTGTCTACAAGTACCTGTTTAAGGGCCTGTATGTTATTTGCTTCAGCTAACATTTCAATATCATACAAATATATAGCAATGCAAATCTGCTTGAAGAACAACTGTGGGTCAAATGCACTTGATGGTGAATTCTGAGTGATGCCATCAGCACAAGCTTTTCCTCCTACAATCAATCCCTGTTGAGCCCTTCAGATCCCAGGCTCATGGAGTACATGAGGCATTGACATCTGCCCAGGTCAATACTATGCCCTGCCCCATCTTAGCTGTTCTCCCCCAATTTCAGCTCCTCCCCCGATCTTCCTTTTAAGCAGAACTATGGTCTCTTTCTAAAAAATGGGCAGGAGCGCTTAACTGTAAGGGCATCTGCACTTAGTTTTTCCTTAGTCTCCCTGCAAAGTCTCACCTGTTGTCCCTGCAAGAGACGTTAATCTAATGCAAGGTCTGGTGATGGTGTGACAATACTGCTGCACTGCTCCTGAATTAGGATCTGCATTGTCATCCTCAGAGACTGTACCTGCTTGCACTACAGTGGGATGAGAAGACATTGCAGAGACGAGGCCTTTGGTTTTGCCACTGCTGATTTATATAGCAGTAGAACAGCAGCTGTACACATCTAGCATTGACATCAATGTGAGCTCCAGTCTCCCACCCAGTAACTAGATTAGAGGCCTATTTAGACTGTCCAACATGAGCCTTTAGATGTACTTCTGGCATTTGACAGACTGACAGTCTGGGCTTAATCACAACATGATGATCAGAAATAAAAGCCCTAACTGTAGCCTAGGCATGTGATCTAACACGCCTCTACAGATACAGGAACCCATTTAAAGTGGAATTTTTAGGCCTTTTTCCTTTGTTGTCACCTGGTGATCTGGCCAGTAACACACTTCTCAACTTAGGAAGTCTCCATTCAGGAAGGAGGAGCAACAGGGGCACCTTTAAATAGCAGCATTGTCAATCTGAGGGGAGGGTAGTGTTAGGTTAACTAGGGGACTTAGACAGACTTGACAAACAAAGCCAAATTCTTGGTAACACTTTTTAAGCAGTTATAGCAACACTTTTCATTTTTCCTTTTGGGATAAAGGCTTTACATACATCAATAAACGTTGAGCAGTGTAAGCACCCCTGTCAGTGTTAGGAAATACTTGATTTCTTTTAAATGATTTATTTAAACAACCTTCCTCATCTTTACAAGATGTGCAGATGAGGTCTCGGCAGACAAGTTTTTCCATTTCAACTTCGACCTCAAAAAAAAGTATCTACAAAGTCTTCTGCTGCATCTGCAAATAAAGCACAAGGGGGAACCAACAGATGTGAAACCAGTTAGTAAATTGACAAAAGCCAGTAGGCTCTGCAAATATGACTTAATATCTGAGTCATGCAAAACATTTTACCACAATCACTTTGAAAGCAAAGAATAATGTACCGTACATTCAATAAAGTATTCAATGATACTGCATACAACATTGATTGGGAAGCTTCTAAAAATAGGTCTGTGAAAAAAATTAACAGGGCTAAATAAATGGAAAAACAATAAACAAGCATTCAGCTAACAGAACACAGACCCATTAAATTAGAATAATAATGTATACATCCTTAGATAAGAGGAACAAATCAAGGATTTTCATAATAAAGTACATATGCAGTTGGTTTTATTCACAGCATCAAGGATATATTATGTACAGATAATAAAGAGAATCCCAGCTAACAAGGTTAAAGTCAATCTCTGAGCACATCACACCTTCTTCCCATCCCCCCTCAACCAATCATCACTTTTAAAATAAAAAACAACCTTCTGAAGCATTTTATCCTTGTGTAAAGCAGGCCATACAGTAAGCAATTTTTTTCCTTCGACTGCTCCTCTGCCGTCTCTGTCTGTCCACTGACACAGAGAGGCAACTCAACCCCACCTCCTCCTCACTGGCTGTGATTGACAGCAGCAGGAGCCAATGGCTCCCTCTGCTGTCTCTGAGCCAAAGAGGAGGAAGAGAACAAAGAGAACCTCTGCCCTTATGCACATCATTGGATGGAGATATGGCTCAGGAATTTGAGTGGGGGTGGGAGCTGCTTGCAGAAAGGTTTTTCACCTTAATGCACAGAATGCATTAAAGTAAAAAAAAAAACCTTCTGCCTTTACAACAACTTTCAGTACAACCAGCCTGATCATACATGGATTGAAATTTGGCCAGTTCCTGTAGAAACGGCCGAATTTCGTTCCGTCTATGGCTGGCTTACAGCACCCAAAATGGGAAGCTCCATTTGTCTGCCTCCTCCCCTCTTCCGCTGCTGCCACATTTGGCACCTTTTGGACGGGGGGGAGGGGCTACAGTTTGATCAGTTTATTTGCTGGTACACTAGTCACCTCCAATAGATGTACAACATGCGGTACACTTTCTACACAGTGTTCTTGACTAGTAAGCAGTCCATGTACACCTCTATATCATAATCCATTCTTGAGAGTTAGTCAACCCATGCATTAGCCTATGAAGAACTGCCAACCTGCAATATTTCCATCACCAAGGTCTTTGCATGAATATTTGTCATTCCCTGTACAAGACACAAACTGTGATGTAAATCAACAGCTTACTACTGAAGCCAAACTGGACACCCAGACACAGGTATCTGTCGGAAAATGCTGTTGCTTGCATATACAATATCTGTGGGGCGTCCCTCTGGAAGGTGGAAATCACTGTGGTAGACACTGCTTACTGATCTCCACTTGCTTCCAGGTTCTGTGCTGAGCTGCTGCCCTGTTGCATTGTAAACACAGGAGGTCGGCCGATCGGCATGAGTGCCATACAGAGAATATAAATGGATATAAAACCGCACTCAATGGAAATTAAATCTCTGATTGGATGGGGTAGAGAGTGTGACACGACTGTCCTGCCTCTCTAATTCATTCATAGAATGCTTTGCATTCAATGAGAAAATGCAAAGCATTCTCTGAATGGCACATATGCCAATTGACCAACTACCTGTGTTCAGAATACAGCAGGGCAGCCTGTCAGCACGGAACCTGGAAAAAATTGCCGACTTCATTAATTTCCAGCTCCTAGAGAGATCCCACACATATGGTACATGAATAATTACATTGGCCTAAGCTGTACCAATGTAACTATATAAAAATTCTTTAACTCCTGCCATTTCTCCTGCATAACCTACTCTGTGCAGTCAAGTATCCTTCTCTCTGCTAATATTCTTGTTGTGTCTCCACTGTGGTTACCTTTCATAGACATGGCTTATAGCATATTATTAGGATTGCTGTACTTTAGCACATGTAGTCACTACACACAACCTTACCTGATTTTCATGGATACAGTACATTCTTCTGAATTTTACTTTCTCCTTGCCCCATAGTGGGCTACACCAGCTTACAAGTGTGGCAGGTATGAGATATGTTATGCATGTCTAATCAAAAAAGTTATTTATCATTTAACATTTTCCTTGCTAACTCTTTGATAACAGTTAAGGTATTAATATGAATATTATATTTTTTTTTTGTTTTTCCTAAATGGTTTGTGGTTTTTTCAACTCATTTCAATGGGGCTTTGTGTACTGTACTATGCAACAGCTCTCCAGAAATGGCTTTGTGACTGTTTCTGAAAGAATATTATAATGTAATTTTGAAAGTGAGAAGCTCCCAGAATCCCAGTTTCTAACATGAAACTTTATAGCATTCTTTCATTTTGTATTCCCAGAATGTGGATGTTGAAGAGATTTGCGCATCAGTTTTTTAAATACAGAGAAAGTGGCATAGTAACTAATCACTTAAATCACTGGGAACAAGACAACACAGGGCAGATACAAACCACTTGCTCATTATCCTGACCAGTACTAAAGTGCCACATCCAAAAGTAATAAAACATTGGACTGCAGTCCATGGACTTTATAGGCACCACACCAATTGTTATAAAAAAATATTTAAACTTAAACAATGCACAATTAAAAAAATATATATATTAAAAACAAATTAAAATAAGACATAGCAGCATCCTGCACCCTTGTGTCGATTAAGGTGGTGGCCCCACACTCTGGAAAAAGTATCCAATATTCTGGTTAATGGTTTGGATATAGTCGTCCTTGGGTTACCACCATCCATTCAGATATAGCTTGACATAGTTTGCATTTGTCGCTTTTTCAAGAGCAGAAGGTGTATATGTTGGACTACTACAAAGAGTCAGCAAGGAAGGACCCTAAAATTGGTATGCCAAAAGACACAACACGGCCCCCCAGAAAAAGAAGGAAAAAAATTCAATAGTACAGCAGGAGTGGGGCGATATCAGCTGTTGAAAACCACAATAAGGCCACTGGATATAATATGTAGAAAATCAAATGTACATTATTTATATTCAAATAGTGCTAGGCTGGGGGTCCATAGGGACTGACATCTACAGTGCAGAAATACAAGCCCAATTTCACTCCACCATATACCTATATACTGAAAAACATAGCCCGGGATCCTCCAAGCTGACTCCTCCAATCAAAGTGTCATAGTAGGCAGGGCCTGTGTGTTCACTATCCACTAGCCATAAGACTACCATCTCATATGGTTTTGGTGCCCTGGGGGAAGGGACATGCGTTTGTTTTTTTAATTAATCAAAACAATGTAAAAAAAAAAAATAAAAAAATACAAATTCTTGTATATCAGTTGACCTGCAGTAGATCTCAAACTTTCACTCATTTGCTGATCTTTATCTTTTAATGTTCCAAAACATAGCTTTAAGAGAATTGTATTGTACCATACCATGACAGAAGCATCCAAAGACTCAATATGACAGGAAATCTGACCACTTTGGATGGATTGGTATCAATTTCATGTCTATGGGGTTTTACTAGCCACCCCTTCCCACACCTGCACAGCCATCAAATTGGGGCCAGCTGCTGTGTCTGTGCAGCCACTGCATCCCAATAAACATCAATGGGACTGCCCACATGCAGATGCATGAACACTTGTGGAATGGATGTCTGCTAAAGTATGCCCATGTGAATGAGGCCTTAAAGCTATTTAACATGCTGAAAAGTGCATTGCATGTGTTTCTCATTGCCCAGACCTACACTTTAATCCTTTCACTGCTAGGTCGATAAGGCGTATGGACCTACATTACTGCTTCCAGCAGGCCAGGTCTGATCGCTGTATGGACCTACATTCCTCCACTGCTATTAGCTCATGGTCACTTCATTAACCAGGAACTTCTAGCAGAATTGTTCAGTAGACTCTGCTGAACAAATCAATAGCTCTGATTAGTGGCTGACCATCTGCTATGATTAGAGCTATTGACCTAAAATGTGCCCCCTGTCCACCTGCTGCTGCCACCATTATCTGAGACATTTCTCCCCCTGCTCCATGGCCTCCACAAAATGCCAATAAATTTCCCCCTGCCAACACTCTAACTTCCCCTCTTCCAGGACCAATCCTCCCCCACAATGACTGACCCCCACGTCCCTCACCAGCGCTGATCTTGTTGGGAACGGTCTTCCCTGCAGCAGCTTTCCCTCCTCTACCATCCCGCCAGATTTAGGGGCTGCAGGGAAGACAAAGTGGAATAACTAAAAGATATCCACCCCCCACTGATCTGACCACCCCTTGCTGATCTGACCCCCTTTGAAGGTAACCCCCCTTACCTGATCCTCGGTGCCCCCTCCATTGCTGGAATGGCCGGCTCTCCCTCCTCCCCTTCCCACCGGCTGCAGCTTCTACTGTGACAGTCAGGATGGAAAGCGGTGTGTGTGGGTGGGGAAAGGGGATGGTAAACACATTTACCAGCCCCCTTTCTTTCCTTGAATGGACATGGTGAGCAATCAGTACTGATTGCACTTATGTCCATTCACCATTGGAGCATAGTAAACACGGTTTACGGTTATCCAATTTTGTGAATGTATAGTAGTCTCTATACAGAGATTTCCATTCATTCATATGCAAGAAAAAGTACAAAATAAAAAAAAGTACAAAATAAAAAAAAATACAAAATTAAAAAAATTAAAAATAAAATGTTAAAAATTAAAAAAAACAAAGAAAAAAGCCACATTATAGTAAGGCCTCGTTCACACAGGGCATACTACAGCCTATGCCCCTGCAAGGCTGTGTTTACCTGCATGTGGATGTACAGTGTTCCATGCATCTCCATGCAGGCAGTCTTATTGATGACAATGTGGATGTAGCAACTGCACAAACACAGCCGCGGCTCCCAATCTGACATCCGTGTGGGTCCGGGTGCATGTGTCTGAGCTCAAACTGTCTGCATTCAGGGGCCATGCACCCACACCAAGAAAGATTGGAAGCAGAAGCTGTGCCCGAATGGGACTGCCTGCACATGGATGCACAGGACATCTGGGCAAGTAAAACACAGCCTTCCACGGACACTCTTTAGTATGCCCCATGTGGACAAGGCCTTTGTAGCAATTTAGCAGGAATTTTGTGTTATGTTGCATATGTGTGCACTAATAATGATTTTAGTGTACTTTTAGTTCAAATAACAAATTTATAAAACATTTATGGCAGGGTCTAAAAAATCTGTAGCACTTTTTTTTTTTATTCGACAGGTCATGTGTTTTCAGAATATGTATGGTTTGGGGGAGGTCTTTTACAAATTCCGACTGTAAGTAAAAAATAATAACGGCCAGATTTTTAGAGTAAATTGTTTATATTTACAGTTTTGCACACATTTGAAAAAAAATGGTGCAATTTAAAATTTACAATTATTTGTTAACTCAGTACAGTTTTACCTTTTATATTTAGTAGGAACTTGGCATGAATTTTGTAAATCTTGCCATGTATGTATCCACTAATAATGATTTCGGTGTATTTTCTGCAAAAATAAGAAATTGCTAAACATTTGCGCAGATATCTCAGGGCCTAAAAAGCATTAGCACTTTTTTTTTATTCTACTGGTCATGTGCTTTAAGAAAATGTATGGTTTGGAGGGTCTTTTACAAACTCTGAAAGCTGTAAGGTAAAAATAAAAAACTATGGAAAAATTGCAAAAATGGTCTAGCCACCTGAGTTTAAATGTGGAGTACAGGGCCTGGCAGCGAAAGGGTCAATAGATTAAACATAGGATATGTAGTACATGGCTTGAAGACTGTGGCAGCTGTTATGGCAATATTAATTGTATGAGCATTGCAAGGGCTCACCAAGAACAGTCTGTTTTCTTAATTAGAGCCCTGATTTCCTTCTGTTTTCTTGAGGCAGGAAACAATTACTTTGATGTAGGTCTAAACAGCGGAGAGTCACATTATTTCCTGATCCCACCATTACCTTTCTTTTGATCCTCTTTCTCTGCCATTCTGTGCTGAGCTTTCCTGAATGCTCGGAGATGCGTGGCAAAGTCATCCACTAACCGGGTGGTAAAATAAGGCTGCCAGTCCACTTCTTTTGACCTTATACAGAGATAAGTTTTTTTTAGCATGCTCTTCAGAGTATTTTCTTACAGGAAAAATGTTCAGTGATAAATGTGATTAAAGTTTAACTCTAGTCCGATATAAAAAAAAAAAGACACAAAATTATAAAAGACACAACATTAAAAAAAAATCTCTGTATTCATTAACAGATCGTTAAATGCAATTCAGTGAGAAAATTTGGCATAGTATTCCCTTTCTACAACCCCCTAACACAGCACAGCTCAGACTAGGAGAGGGAGAGGTAGCACTAGTCAGTTGTGCTGCAGTGCTCATATGTTAACAAGGAACATGCTCATAGTAAATGAGAGTGGATAGAAAGAGAAATGAGCTCACCAGTCTGCTGCTTTTTCTTTCAATGTCCAGTGATGGGCTGGAGGAGGAACAAGACCTAAAAAGCTGTCCTTACACTAGTAGATTTCCAATGAATGGAAAATATTCATATGAAAATTCTGAAACTGGAGGTATCTTTTGAAATGGCAACGAATCATATGGGTAAGGTCGGCCATAGTGGATTGAGATCCATCTATGGGCAGGCCGGTTGTACTGAAGTTGATCTATCGATCCCCTTCAATACAACCAGCCTGCCGGGTTTTTTTCATGCAATGACTGCTGGCGGCTATAGCCGTCTCCTGTGATCATTGTATTCTGCCAGTGGGGAAGGCTCCCCACACTCTGCACTCTGAACACAATACTGCTGACTGTGGTTATGGGGGAACTGAACAATTTTCTTTCCTAAGCCTTAGAACAAGGTTTGGACAAGGTTTTTAATTGCATTAAAAATTTTTTTTTTTTTTTAATCACAAAAGCAGTTAGCCAACAGATGATAGCTCTATTATAGGATAGAGGGAAAACGTTTTAAATGGAAACCCTTGTTCTGTGACAACTGTCCAATAACAAATTTTCTCTCACTCAGATAATTCATCTTTCATCTTACTTTCTGCTGTGTCTCTGGGACAGGAAATGAAGAAAAGGCTCTCCTGAGACTGGCAGGAAAAAAAAAACAAAAAAACAAAACCTGGTGTTTCAACCAATCCATACCCAGTCTAAAACTGCAAACAACATATTGGCTTTTGATATTTGAAGTTCCATCTAATGGGCAGCACAGTAGCTAAATGGTTAGCACTTCCGCCTGGACTAGGGTCGTTGGTTCGAATCCAAACCACGGCACCACCTGCCTGGAGTTTGCATGTTCTCCCTGTGCCTGCGTGGGTTTCTTCCGGGTACTCCGGTTTCCTCCCACACTCCAAAGACATGCTGGTAGGTTAATTGGATCCTGTCTAAATTGGCCCTAGTATGTGTATGTATGAATATGAGTTAGGGACCTTATATTGTACACCCCTTGAGGGTTAGGGACTGATGTGAATGTACAATATATATGTAAAGCACTGCGTAAATTGATAGCGCTATATAAGTACCTGAAATAAATAAATACAATGCATGGACTTGCTGTATAGGCTGCAATAAAGCTAAACATGTTAGAATAGAATTGTAGTTATCCTGTACAAAGTTTCCACAGCTACAGTACTTACACAAACTTTGCTGTGTGCATTAAAAATTTGCGTTTAAGGACAAATGAGACGGGTGTTTCTGAAAATGTACTTACCGGGCGGAAAATTGAACAAGTGCATTCTGAACAGTTTGCCTGATTTCAAGGAGAAATGATTCATCCTCGCTTAGTGTGTAATACCAATATTGGACATAGTCCCTCAAGGAAAACTGGATTACCTAAAATCCAAAAAGAAAAAAAAAAAACTCTAAGTCTCCAAAGTAACAAAACAAAAAGCATGTTTGAATGTAGACATAAAACTAAACTCATACAGGCAGAGCCTTCTCTGCAATTGCTTCTTTCTATTCAAAGTTTTGTAAATGGCACATATTAGTCTTTGAATCATTTTATGTTATGTGTCTGTATGGTCCTCTTTTGTTATGTAACCTTTGGACAAAAACACAAAATGTTAAACTTTGACAGTACGAAAACACACAGTCACATGAAATAAATATGGTAATCCGTGGGTATCACATTCCTTGCATTAAGCTAAAAACCGTTTTCTATTTCTCTGTCCTCTCCCTTTCCTGTGTGAAGTGGAAGAGAGAGGAGAATAGATCTAGAACTGCTCACTGCTGCATTCCTTCTCCCCTCTCATCTTCACACAGAGACTCAAACAGCAGTAGCAGCAGCCATTGGAGCTGTGTATTAAATGCAGTGAGGAGAAAGTTGGGCAAGGCTAAGCTGTGTGTGTCCATGGATAATGCCGTTTTTAAAATATTTAATTTATTAACGGGGAAAAAAGCTGTTCAAATCTGCCTGGCCCTATGTGAAAAACTAATTGCCCCCATCTCCCTTGCTAAATACTGAATGAACTGTGATTGTAACCACATTTTCTGGAAAGCAGAGTTAAATTTCAGTTGCTACAAACAGACCTGATTACTGCCAGACCTGTTGAATCAAGAAATCACTTAAATAGAAGCTGAAAATGTGAAGCACGCTAAAAGATCTCAAAAAGCACCAAATGGTAAATGGTATTGGTGCCACGGTGCATGTGAGTGGCACCAGTGAATGTGAGTGTGCATTGTATATATTATTGAGCACTTTTATTAAATACTACACTATGAAGGTATTTGTATTCTGTTGCACACGGTTTATGTTTTGAGGGAGAGCAGCATATCATATTGGCGAAGAGGTTGACAGAAAGCAATGTTATCAGCTGTCAATCTACTTGGGAATTGTGTCTGCATCCTTGGTTAATAGCGCTTACGACCTTCCTTTTCAATAAGCGGTCATTGACCTGTGGTGAGGTGTGGGACTTTTTACTTTTATAGTCCTTATGTGAATATGGACTGAAATGTAGTGTCACATTGTTTGTAATTTGGTATCATTAAGATCTGTAGAGTCCGAGCGCCAGCCTTAACGGGGCAGCTGCACATCATTTTTATATTTGTATTATCATATTTTTTATTACACATCAATTTCAGAGATTTGGGGATTTTTTTCTAAGACCTTTTAGAGAAGGCTCCCACTATTAGAATATCTTTTTTGTTACCTTACAAGGTTTTAGAGTGGCCTAGTCAAAGTCCAGACCTAAATCCGATTGAGATGCTGTGGCATGACGTTAAACAGGCTGTTCATGCTCAAAAACCCTCCAATGTAGTTGAATTAAAACAATTCTGCAAAGCAGAGTAGGCCAAAATTCCTCCACAGCGATGTGAAGGACTGCCAGTTATTGCAAATGCTTGATTGCAGTTGTTGTCACCAACGGTGGCACAACCAGTTATTAGGGTTAGGGGGCAATTAGTTTTTCACATAAGGCCAGGCAGGTTTGGACAGTTTTTTTCCCTTAATAAATGAAAAAAATTGAAAACAGCATTTTTTATTTTACTTATCTCTGTGTAGCATTAAAATGTTTTGAGGATTTCTCTAAAAGAAGTGATTGAGCTAGTCCAGACCCACTTCATCTATGAGAAATCTTTAGCTTACCTAAACGATAGAATTACCAAATTTGACAAACCTTGGAAACCCTGGTATGACTGGTTCAGAACTGTAATCTAAGATATTATTATGTTTAACCTTTTCTTGGATACTCTAAAACGACGATTTCGTGGAACTAGTAGGATTGTTAGGAATTATTCAATATTTCCTTTTTTCTCTTTGTTAAACTTTACCGCAGCACCTATACTGTGATATTGTGTAGCTTTTCACAGTCCTATTTTTGTTTTGTTTTTTGTTGTAACTATATTTGTAAAACCAAATAAAAATTTATTATGGGAAAAAAAAAAATGTTTGATGCTGTGAATCATTTAAGTGTGACAAACGTGAATAAAAAAAAAATATATCAGGAAGGGGGTAAATACTTGAGGATGAGGTTTACAATCACCAGTTTATTCATGAGCCTGTCCTAAAAGGCAGAAGATCTTTACAAAAAGCAATGTCGGCCACTTTCCAGAAAAGTCCCCAAGTAAAAAACAAGGGACTTCTACAGTTGCCCTTATTACTATATACAACAGCACAGGAGGGGATGGTATTATAAACAGAATATAAAATACAGTTCAAGAGCCTGAGGATTAATCAGACAAGTTATACAGTCATCCGCTATAAAAAAAAATTATCAATATGTTTTAAGTAGCACTAGATATCTGGCACTAGGCGACCTGTTCAGCCATGCAAGTCTAGAACCACATGGGCGATTCTTATCATTTGTTAGAAGGAGATAAAAATCCTAGCTGTCAACTGCTTCAGTTGAAATCAGTGCATTGCAAATAAGGGTGTTGTAAATGGGAAGCTAAATTTCTAGCTAACAAAATCATCAATGTAGCCTTAAAGGATTCATATAGGCATGGCCATTTTACCCCGAAGCATTCCTCTCCTCCACTAGAGTCCCAGTATTAATTTTCTTCTTTTTAGCTTGTTCCTCTAGTGAGAAACAACTGTTATTATGCTTGGTTGTGTCATCAATAGGCTTTTTAAATAGGAAACTGCTCTGAGCACAAGCACAGTCCCAGAACTACATCTCCCAAGAGCCCTTTCCCTACACACAGTGTGTGGGCAGGCCTTTGAGAGTCAAGGCTAACGTTTTGCTTGGAAATAGATTAAATTAATGTATGCATAAGTGGGACACAGGAGTAGGGTTAAGAAGAGTTATGTAGTCCATCACATGGGAACTGGACAGGGCTGATAAAACTGAGTGGTATTTCAGTACAGAAAAGCCCAAACAGAAAATTAGAGCACACTTGATTTCTGGCAGATCTAGGTATTTTTTTTTTTGCATGTTTTGGTTTTTTTTTTTCAAAACATGCTTTCTAAACTTTTCTGAAATCCACCCAAAACTTTCTACTAACAATATACATTCTGGTATGCAACCATTATTTTAGACCATGTCACCCAGCAATGCAAATTTCTGTAAAGTCCCTGTGGTAGGACAAACAAGAAAAAATGAATGTGCTTTCAATGAAAAAGGGACCTGTGCTAATGACTTTTACTTACTTACTGTCAAATCTCACCACTGAATGGATTGCTGTCCATCAATTATTGGTGGGGATCCCTGAGAGCCTTTAATCCTATGTACTCAGCTTCCTAATGAACAGGTCAAAATTTAACCAGTGGGTGGCCCAGTCAGCATTCCTCCACCTGACATCTTTCAATTGAAAGATTGGGTGGAAAATGGTTGGCCAAACAGTGCCTGCAGTTAATCTCAATATGTGAATTACCCATTAGTCCATTTCACCTTTAAAAATCCAAGTAAAAATATTTCAGCATTAAGATTAGAGGGTTTTCCTAGATGCTGATTAGGTGTTCTTGTTTCGTGTCTTCAGTAGGCGGTTATTCTCGGCTTCCTCATTGTCGTCTCTGTGTGTTCTCATTTCCTCTTTCCTGCTTTAACAGCAGGTTAATTTTCATATAAAGTGCTTGTGGAAATCAGAGCTTCTATGATAAAGCAAAATTATGTAATACATGAAATACATGTGTCACATGAAAGACAAAGGCTGAACACCGCTTCTGAAAAGACTAACTCTTTGGCAGTCATGTTGATCCTTTTTTTATTTTTTTTTTTTTTTTAAAACAGCGCTCAACAGTGTACAAAAATGGATAGAAAGTATCCAAAAATATATACACTGCTCAAACAAATGAACCTACAATATATCAAACAATGCGCTTCAACTTGCCGGGCAATAAGGACAACCTCGGCGCGCCACTGATTGCGTAATCGCTGTCTAATGCGCATTTCGCCCCTCCCACTGGGCGTCTTCAGAGACAGGTTTCACGAACTGGTCTAATATACCATGTATGCTCATCCTCTTCTGAAATAAGGACCTCTGGAGATTACTTGGAACTGGAGCCCGGCAAGTTGAATCGCATTGTTTATGATACATTGTAAGTGCATTACTTTTAATTAATCTTATAATACAAGCAGTATTACGCTATGGGGGCCTCCTCTCTCCTTTCGATTTCCTTAAGACAGTAGGATATGTTGAGTGCATGACCGGAAGTAAAGGAAAGAAGGGAAATACCATTATCTACCACCAGACAAAGCGTTGTTTGACCTAAGTTGTGAGAGCAAAGGGTCCATCTAATCTGGCAAAAAGGGGGGGGGGGGGTGTCACCGACTGAAGAGCACTTTAAAAAGAGCACCAGTCACTACTGGTAGTTTTGGAGCACAGAGCACTCTAAGAAGACATATACTGTGCGCGCGCCCTCTCTCTCTCTCTCTCTCTCTCTCTCAGAAGTGGGTCCACCCCTCACATTTTTGTAAATATTTTTTTTTTTTTTATCTTTTCATGTGACAACACTGAAGAAATGACACTTTGCTAAAATGTAAAGTAGTGAGTGTACAGCTTGTATAACATGTAAATTTGCTGTCCCCTCAAAATAACGCAACACACAGCCATTAATGTCTAAACCGCTGGCAACAAAAGTGAGTACACCCCTAAGTGGAAATGTCCAAATTGGGCCCAAAGTGTCAATATTTTTGTTGGCCACCATTATTTTCCAGCACTGACTTAACCCTCTTGGGCATGGAGTTCACCAGAGCTTCACAGGTTGCCTCTGGAGTCCTTTTCCACTCCTCCATGATGATATCACGGAGCCGGTGGATGTTAGAGACCTTGTGCTCCTCCACTTTCCGTTTCAGGATGCCCCACAGATGCTCAACAGGGTTTAGGTCTGGAGACATGCTTGGCCAGTCCATCACCTTTACCCTCAGCTTCTATATCAA